CTTGCAGGACTGGCCTAGGGGAAAATTTTAATGGGGTTTTAAAGTAATTTTTAAATCAATCTGACCACATTACTAATATTTGTTTTTACTGATGTTTTTAATATTGTAGTTCTGGGGATTAGTGTTTTATCTGGTTGTTAGCCGCCCTGAGTCCGCAAGGAGAAGGGCGGGATATAAATTAAATTAATAATAATAATAAAAATAATAATCTGTTGCTATTATTTCTAACATTTATATATTAAGTTTGTGGGGCCAGGACCAATTTCTTTTTGTTTAAGTTGCTTCCTAAAGCATCCATTTTATCATAGGCATTATAATATCTTTTCTAAGACTCAACATCTGTAGACCAAGAGTTTTACTGCCAAGCCAAATTTGTTTACAGTACACAATTGACAACCAGTTTATCCCTCTTTATAGGTTCAAATCTGGACGAGATATACTAACAAAAAAAATTCCCAGTTGTATCACTCCTAGGATTCTTGCATGTACAGTATCTTCTTTCCAGTGATGCCCTTGACTCAAACTCCCAACCTCATTCGCTGCTAAGACCAATAAGAGAAAGGAAATGGACTCTTGCTTCTCTCCCAATGTTCTGAGTTCTTCTGTTGCTTATTCTTGAAGCCAACATCCACAGATTTGGAGAAAGGGAAATAATTATTAATTGTATGAAGTAGTAAGTGACCTCACTTATATTTTACCTTCAGAAATTGAGTGAGGGCTTTTGATTTATCTTTTCTTGTCTCCTCATTCATAAACCAGTAAGTGAGGCCCAGCCAAAAATGGAATTCAGCTATTTCAGCTTCTTTTGCTATAGCTCTCTGAAAACTAAGAAAAAACAATTACTTAAATATTTAGATTGCACCTTTTCTCCAACCCCCCAAGAATGAATATGAAGGTACCTCATTTCTGCCTGATGATATTCTTTTTGCCTATAATGTATCAATCCTTCAAGGAAGTGGGCTTCTGCCAGGTCTGGATGTGCCAACTGAAGCTCTTGTGCAATCTGTATGTAGTACAATGTAAAATTCTCAGTGTTGTACACACCAATGTCATATTTAAAATAAAAATCGGACTTACTAAAAGAGAAGGATACTAACCTTCAAAGCTTCATCAGTGAGATCTTTCTTTAGATAGGCCTGTCCTCTAAGAGCTATAAGCTTTGGATCATTATTTCTATCCAAGATCTAGAAACCAGAAATACAGTCTCAAAGTTCAGAAAGTTCAGAAAACTAAAGCCATATCACAGATTGCTATATATTGACTGATTAT